TAAGAATGAAATTACTTACAAATAACAACAAAAATAACTACAAATATGATGATAATGATGATGAAGATACTTTGTGGCCGAGATAAAAATGGTAAACACTTTTCCATTTTTCTTTTTTTTTTCTCTTTTATAAGCAAATGTGGTACACAGATGCCACCATGATCTAGGAGAGACTATAAAGATATAACTAGAATAAGGACATTTTGCAAAAACAGTGTATCTTTCTGTAAAATCCGCCTGTGTAATTTATCGTTTTGTTTATATATTTATCTTAATCAACTAACCGAAATTATTATTCCATTTCTCCTTTATTATCATTGTCCCTTTTTCCATAACCCAGATGGAACACAGGCACAAACAAACACACATACACCCACAAACACACACTTGTGACGCTCCTGTGAAATATATACCGCTGCTGTGACCGCTCCAGTCTAACACATAATTGCACTCTCGTGTGTGTGTATGCCGCACGCAGACAAAAAGACACATAGACACTTAGGCACGCGAGCTGGGACCTGGAGATAATACGTGATAGAATCTTTTTTAGTTTCTGTTGCTTCTCCCGGTTTGTAGAAGGAGGTAAGGAGAGAGAGAGATGGACTAGAAAGAGAGAGAGAGATTTTGGTACGTTTGGGTGAAGGAGTGTGTGAGAATTGGCTAAGAAGCTTGTCTGTGTTTTTGAGGGGGGGATGTCTGTCTCTTCTCTTTCTCTCTCTCTCTCCTATCTCTCGCTATCTAATCTATCTATCTATTATTTTGCTGGTAAAGTCTCTCTCTCTCTCTCTCTCTCTCTCTCTCTCTCTCTCTCTCTCTCTCTCTCTCTCTCTCTCCTCTCTCTCTCTCTTCTCTCTTCTCTCTTCTACTATTATATATATATATATATTATATATATATATATATATATATATATATATATAATATATATACTATAATATATTATATATATATATATATATATATATATATATTATATATTTATATATTATATATATGTATGTATGTTATATGTGTGTGTGTGTACAGCCTGATAACGCATTATTATTTTTCTTTGTTTCGTNTTTATTTATATCTAAATACTAGAAACACTCAAGGGAGAGCACACCTCCGCCAAAGCAATAAGGTCACGCAATAAAAAATATTCACACTTAAAGAATTACATTAATATCACCCCTTCATTGAGTGCATGGCCGTGTTCGTTTCGCTATCTCGAATAATAACGAATCCTTTATAAAATCCTTTATAAAATGATAACTAATCCTTTATAAAATCCTGGACGCGGACCATGATTCGGATCACCACTAATTTTAAATGGCACCTCAGTTGGGTTAAGTCTGTTCATAACTATTGAGTTATAATGATCCGAATCACCACCACTGGATTGATAGGAGATACGAAGACCATCGCATGACAAGCCTTCCTTATTGCTTATCAGTCAACCTGCATATGTATTCAATATCAGATAACAGTTTCTGATGTAACAACAAGATAATAAGCAGTATTCCTGGATATCCTTACATCAAAACTTAAATGAAATATTTATTTGGCTGTATCACAAAATTGATATGCTAATTTTAAGTTTCACAATATCTCAAAGTTCAATATTCAACATCTGAGATTTTAAACAAAATAACATAATGCATATTCCCCATATTTAGTCTCTAATACCACAGGCATCACACATATATAAACAAATAATATCCATATATTTCCCCTACAATATCAGCCTTTAGGTCTCCAGTACAATCGAAATACAAGAGCCTCAGGTTTTAATCGCCTTTCTTAACACGCAGCTTCAGCCTAAATGAAATCAAAATTGTTTAAATGCGATTGTTTACTGAATTCATAGGATTTACTCCTCACAACTCAACGCACTTCTTCAGTAATTCAGTTATTTATTGCTCCTTCTTTATATAGATAATGGCATCAAAGTTGGGCCAAGACACACCTTTGGTAAATAAACTATAAATATATGTTTATATAATAGTTTGTTATCCTGCTAACCAACAAACTAACCAACCCTACCAAAAACAAGCATTTACCGTATTTGAATAGAAAATGTCATCATATTTTTGGGGTGAGTATTATAAAATAATTTTGCCCAAAGGGCGTTTGTAGTTTCCTCAATGACAGTTCCAGATAAAGATATTTCTGTACCATAATTAGATGGCTTAATATTGATAACGCACTCACGTGCACTCCCATACATATATGTATAAAGTAAATGGATAGATAACGGCTTTCATGTAGTATTTCCGAAACCTAAAACACTATGATACACTTTGATACATGTTTGCCCTTTATACACAGTATTGAAACCTGTTGAAAATCTTTTCGGTTTGTATCACTTTGTATGTCTCTAAATTGATACAGTGTGATGCATTCCGAACAGCAATCAGAATGTGATAATTTTCGAATATACTTCACATAGTTTCTCGAAGGGATTTATATTTTCTCTAATTATGACTCACAGCTTGTGTTTCCCAAATAAAACGTTTTTTGTGTATTCTTAGCAGTACATCAAGCCGACCACAGCCAGCAGCTCCAGGCCCACCCAGGTCTCCGCCGTCGGGGGCCACACCACTCTAGCACCCAGCCATACCCGTGGGCACTCACACCCGCAACAGACACTCGCTAAAGAGATAACAGACAAGTCAAATAGAGGACGACCAATCCTATAACGGTAAGAATTTGCACTGTGTCCAAGTCATGTGGTATTGACTTTAGTTCTTCAAAATCATTCTGTACCTTTATGATACAACCATAGACTCAAAACATCAAAGAAAAGTCTGAAGTATTTTTGGTTTATTGATGTAATTCAGGCTATAATATCCTTCATCTTTGACACCGATCTATCATTTTGACTCAAATGAAACATATAACTTCCTCACGGAGAATATGATAGATGCAAAGCCTCAAATAACTCATAGATTTTCCATGACGAATGGTGTAAGCAATAATAAATAATAAATAAGTAATAAATAAATAATAATAAATAAATAAATAATAAATAATAAATAATAAATAAATAAGAAAGGTTTTGGCTGAATCTCAGAAATGACCTCGAAAGTTTCCACAACCTTACAAAGCGAAGATTGGTGTGTAAAGAGTTACGGAGTAGTCAGGTTTTTCTCCTCTTTATCTGAAGCAACCTCAATGTTTTGCTTGTAAATAATAATCATACCAGCACGTTTTTTTTTTTCTTTTTCTTCTTTTCAATTTTGCGTCTACACAAACGTCGATGATATGTATACACAATACTTACTCAGATACAGTCATAAGCAATCACACAAAACCATACTCACACACCCACTCTCACAAAACGATACATTAAGAGCCATATCATATATTACCTTCGTCTAAGGGCGCATCTTTAGTATCATAATCCCAAACGAAATTGAAAAAAAGTAATATTTTGCTCTACCCACATCCAATAATAAGATTATAGTTCTGCACGCCGCCGCCCAGCCTATAGGCCTATCATCTCTTCTCAACGGCAGCAACAGACTTTCTAGAAGTAGTCCATGTCTGCTTCCTTTCCAAGAATTTCCATAATCGCACGACTGCCATTATTGCCTTTACTTGAAATCGCCTCAACCCTCAAGAAAAAAAAAAAAAAAAAAAACACACAAAAAAAAACGTTAATATATTCAAGAAATGAAAGCAAAGCAGTGGGGTTTGCTTGACAGTTGCCAACTCGGTATCCCCTTTCCATCTTGGTGAAAATCCTAGTCGGCAACTGCTAATGTGCCTACATGTATTAGAAATAATAATAGGATTTCGAAGTTTCTTTTTTTTTTTTTTTTTTTTGTTCCTTTTCATTTTCTCATTTCACCATTGTACTGAACCATATTTAAAGAAAATATACGAGAGACACCACAGAATTTCGTACAGTTTAATGTGGCGTAAAAGGGCGGGGTTTAGATTGAGGACGCACTATCCGATACCAGATATGGCCAAGTACATAATCATTGTACAATTTACTCACATAGTGTTTTGGTCAGCAAAAGTAATACAAAAATTCCCAAACTTTTTTGTATTAACGAAGCATTCCATACCGTGAACAGTAAACCCATGAGAAATGTAAATTTTAGGTTCAATAGGCAAACTGGTTGTGGTCCTACCTGTTGTCAATGTACCTTGTTACCTACGGACTCCATTCTCTATCCCCGCCCCCCCCCTGTTGAAATTGTATCAATTTAATATGCCTGAAGAAAGACATACTGGCATGGTAACTATTACTACTCCCCTCTCCCTCCCCCCATCTTCGAGTTCGTGGTCTCTGCTAATAATACCCAACCATTACCTTCCTGGCTCTTCTCGCTGCCTTGTCGGTTATTCCCATCAGCCAGAAGGAACCTGCTATGTGTGTACCTAAGCTTATAAGTCTTCAATTCCGTTCGCTACAAAACGCACAATTTTGATGGAATGGACTGTAGTGCGATACATGTATTCTTTGCACAAACGCCACTATCTCAAGAGGTAATACGCTAAGCAGACGATGCATATATTGTTTACAAATACGGGTAATGTTGAATGACAAGAACTATTTTCAGTACGGATTCTAAAAAAAAAAAAAAAAAAAAAAAAAAAGATAAAGAGCCCTGAGGCACTTTCAGAGGTAGGAATACATGGAAAAAATAAGGTTAAGCTTGTTTAGGACCATCGTACCAAATGCTATAGCAATGTTATAGAAGACTGTTATAAACACTAGCACACGAAAAGTCAAATTTTCCAACGGAACACAAGGATGGTGCTCCCAATTCATGTGCTCAGAACTATACAATGCAAACAAAATGGTCATAACGGTAGCAGAAGAATAAGTATGAACAATACAACTCTACCTATTGTTCAGCATAATTCTTCTATAGCCTCTCGTTTTCATTAGAAATCATGAACAGATTCTTAGTTTTTGAATGAGTCAGATGATATTTCTGTCTTTCATCTTTCTCATCTTATTAGATTTGTAATAAGAAAACAAATATTCATATATCCATAGAGAAAACAGGACCATCTTACATTAGAGAAATAAAAGAGAATTCTTCTTTTGATAGCACGAAATGTTAACAACAAGATTCGGACGCCTTCTTAGACCATGCAGGTGAGGTGAATGACAAAGAAATGTGTAAAAATGCTCCGAGATTTATACTGACTGCATATACAGTTAATTATCTCAATTTCTTTTCTGATTCATCGAAATCTGGAAATGTTATTGAAGAACCTGATGCCATATCATAGCTGAAGATTACTATAACACTTTTCAGGACTGTGATCGGTTCGTCCAACAAAGTCAAGTTCTCCACACGTCCGGTCTCCCAAAGATATGAGTAAGGATTTTCATTCATCTATCTTTTCATAGTGTGTGAAAGACAGAAAAAGAGAGAGAATAGTTGAGGGTCAAAGAAAGTGAATGGAAATTGTGTTATTTTTACTTAGTAGCCACCAAAACACAAATCACGAGTCATTGTCTGAAAGAGGGAAATAGTTAAACAGTTAACACTTTTCATTTTTCTCCAGAGTTGAAGATGGGCGTGAGTTCAAGTGGCTTTGGCCTGCCAGTAGAGAGGAGGCGATGTTCAAAGCAGCACACGACATAGGATGCAAGACTCTTAATGCAATCTACAGATACAACACCGTCAAGCCCTTGGACCCTGGACACGTGGAGCAAGCCCTGAGGCACTTTCAGAGGTAGGGATACACGGAAAGGATTAAGGCTAAGCTTGTTTAGGGCCTTTATACCCAGTGTTACAGAAATGTCCATGGAGATCCAGTTATCAAGGGTGGGATGGTGACCAAACATCGGGAAGGTTTGCTAAAGGGTTTTCGAAATGCCTAAGGAGATGGCCCTAGCTACTCTCACTATACGGAGGGAGATCAGACGGTTTCAGAGGTTGCAAAGGCATTATCGAAAGCCTTACTGATGACCTAGAATTCAGGTGAATTGTTTTGGCAAAGATTGGCTTTGTTGTCTTAAGTTTGAGGGATATGGTTAATGAAAATTGGAAGTATAACTTTGTTGCATCATTCCCAATAGCTTGGGCACTGTATAGGAAACAACATATTCAATAATTTGGTTTGGCTTTAGTCTCGTTGAAAACTAATACATTAGGATCGAAAGTTAAAAGTAAGGAAAAAAAAATCACGGTTGGAAGGTGAATAAGAATGATCATAAGGACGCACATTCATCAAAT